TTTAGGACCGGAACTATCCTTTTTATAATAACGTGAAAGTTTTTGACCTTTTATAAAAGCAGAAAGAGACTTGAAACTGTGTGTTACTGTGATTGCCAACTGGTTAGAGCAGCAAGCATTATTTCCAAGAGACATCTCTAAAGTGAGGGTGACAGTCACTAACTAGCTAACTTCGTTGAAGCTAAGCCATTAGAAAGTAACTCACTCCCTTAAAATAATCAGAGGTAAACATTTTTGAATACTGAACAAAACACACAATTGATTACCTCACAGCTAACTTGATAACGTTAGTTACTGTAACAACTGACACCATTTAACAGATGAAGCTGATGCTGTCTTCTTATTTGACAGCTTCTAATTCAGATTTTCCCTTCCACCATAAATGATGAAACGTGAATAATTTGATCATTCTGATATTCCATCCAGTTTTTTCTGATGTTGTATGTTAATACAGATATCTGGTATTGAATTGGTGCCATCTCTATATAATATATTCATTATAACATAGAACAAACAACTGAAATACAAATGACTTAGGTACATTCTTTTTAATGAGACTGCAGTGTATATATATAATTTTTAAATGTAGTAAATTATATTGTTTACCAGTCAATTAGGTTTTTTCACAAAATATATGTCCCACATTGACATGTCATTACTGTCAAAACAACCTAAAGTAAAGCAAACAGCAAAAAAACTTGGAAATGTATTTGAGTGCAGCAGCATTTGGTCAAATTTCTTTGATTTGCCATTATATAAGTATGGAAAGGCTGAATCCAGGGCTGTTAAAATACCCAGACAGTTACGTTAGGGGTTATATCCTCCCGAAACGATGCAGTATATCAAGAAGATTGCTCTGGCTGCATACTGGAATATTTTGCCGGAGCAGTACATCATCCAGGTACCTTTGGTGTACTGGGGAAATTCATGTTGGTCACACACTGCATGATACTTACTTTTGGTAGAATCTGTATGCAAACAGTATATAATAGGCTATTTAGAACACAGCCTAAGTCACTCTAGCAGTCTAGTGCAGGGGTTCTCAACCTTTTCCACCCAAAGGCCCACCTGTTTATAACCATAAAGCATAGCGGCTCACAGAAAAACTAAATTCAACTTTTTTAAAGTACTTTTTTCCTTGCTCACAGTGAAAACCTGTAAATTAAGGCCTGAAAATGATTAGATCGTCCATTTTAGTTTAATCACAGAAGCCAAAATTTACAGTTATGCTAAAAAAAAAAATTACATGTTTGAAAAAAAACATGTTTTCAGAGATGTCAAAAAAGGGGGAAAGGAAAAAAGGTAGATGTAAATGTGGAGCTGCAGGCCATTGCGTTTTCACTGAAAATGCTTGTGGCTTATCCACAGGAGTGACTGTGCACCAGCGGCTGCTTTCAGTTTTTCTCAAACTGATGACGTTTAATTAGCCTGCAACTGCGATGTTTTTATCTATACGTCTCTGTTAATGTTTATATTGGTTATAGTTTGGAAATGTTTTGATTTGTTCTTTTTTCATTATTAGGCCTAAGCACATCAAGTCTAACTTCACCACTGGTGGATGCCCTCAATAGTCTACACTGGATGGTGCTCACAAGAGAACTGTGGACAAGAAATAGCAATAGTAGCAAAGTGGAAGGCTTCAGTTCCTCTCGAAACAAGACGTAACGTAGCAGTATGAGAATGAGAGGCTGTGAACGTGGAGGAGTTAAAACATTGACTGTATATATAATATATATGATATTGACACTTATTGGTTGGAACATGCAGCCTCTGTTGCTCTCACATTATGTCAGTGATGAAAACTGGAAACTGTGTATGTTATTTTCGTGTTCACCGTGCAATGATGTGTATATATGTACAGGTTCACTCATGTAGCAAAATGCCCTGCATTTGAATTGAAGAAAATCTTTCTTACGATTCGAATTTGAGCAAATAAGACAAATGTGATTAATCGTGATTAATTACACAAACTAGTGCCATTAATTGTGATTAATTATTTTACAGCCCTCACACACACACATGTAAATACAAACAAAGGTTAGTATCCATAACCCCCTTTCAACAAAACTTGTTTCGGTGAGAACAGCAAAACTTTTGGTTTTGGTCCAAATGGCCACATCTGGGTGAGCAGAGTCAGATTTGACTCCAGCAGAAACAGGCCTGAGCATGGTGATTGTGCTGTAGTGAATTCATCACAGCACAGGGCAGAGGCTGTGTAATTACTCATGTTTTGTGTTGTGAGTGCAGAGTCAGGCGGATCTGTCCTATTCACAGCTGCTGCCACTTTAACCTCTCAGCATTCCCAAAACGGATGCGAGGAAAGAGGGAGAAATTAGGCGACATGAGCACAATGCTGCTTTTGTGTGGTTGAGAGTCAGTGTGGAACAGGTAGCTGGGTTTAGCACAGAGAGCAAGATGACTTTTTTTTTTTAATGTGTGAGAGTATGTGTGTGTGTGTGTGTGTGTGTGTGTGTGTGTGAGAGAGAGAGAGAGATCATCATCATCATCATCATCATCATCATCATCAGGCTTAGCTAGCAGGACAAAGACCACTGATTGCTGCCTTAATTTCAGCATCTTGTGCTCTCTCCATCCTCCACTCTCTCTCTCTCTCTCTACTCTTCTGTTTTTCTATTTCTATTTCTGTCTTCTCTTTCCCTTTTTTCTCTCTCTTGCTCTTATTTTCTCTCTTTCTGTCTTCTTTCTCTCTTCTTTTTCTCTCCTCTTTCTCTTACTCCTGCTCTCTCTTGCTCTCTCCTCTTTCCTTTTTCTTTTGCTCTTTTTCTTTTTCTCTGTTGCTTCCTCTTCTCTTTCTCTTTAGTTTCTCTTTAGGCTCTGTCCACTCTGTCCTTTTCTCTCCGCTGCTGTTTTTTCTTCTCTTTCTTTTGCTCACTGTTTCTTTTTTTTTCTCTTTGTCTCAGGACCAACTAAACACTAAAGCATGTACTTTCTCTCTCTCTCTCTCTCTCTCTCTCTCTCTCTTTTTCTCTCTTTTTCTTTGTTGCCTCTTTCTGCAGAAACAGCACCACCAAAATATCTAGATGGCTAATATAACGGGAAAGGAACTGGCCACCAGTTAGTCTGTTATAATTAGCTTGAACCTGATTGTTGCTGCTGACTGTGAGGGACAGAAAACCACCTCCAAATTTTCAGCAGATAATGGACAAATTAAGAAACGTAGCCATTTTAAGTACAACCCCAATTCCAAAAAAGTTGAGACACTGTGTAAAATGTAAATAAATGTAAAAAAACAAACAATGCAATGATTTGCAAATCTCATAGACTCATAGATTTTATTCACAGTTGAAAGTGAGACATTTTACCATTTCATGCAAAACATGAACTCATTTAGAACTTCATGGCAGAAGCGCATCTCAACAATGTTGGGACAGGGGCAACAAAAGGCTGGAAAAGTAAGTGGTACTAATAAAAAAAACAGCTGGAGAAGCAATTTGCAACTAACTCAAATGACTGGGTATAAAAAGAGGCAGAGTCTCTCAGAAGCAAAGATGGACAGAGGTTCACCAATCTGTGAAAAACTGCATCTAAAAATTGTGCAACAATTTCAGAAAAATATTTCTCAAGTAAGATTGCGAAGACTTTGGACATCCCACCATCTGCAGTGCATAATATAATCAAAAGACTCAGAGAATCTGGAGAAATTCCTGTACACAAGGGACAAGGCAAACAGTCACTATTGGATGCTTGTGATCTTTGGGCTCTCAGGTGGCACTGCATTGAAAACAGGCATGATTCTGTACTGGAAATCACTGCATGGGCTGAGGAACACTTTCAGAAATCATTGTCTGTGTACACCGTTTGCTGTGGAATCCACAAATGTCAGTTAAAGCTGTATCATGCAAAGAAGAAACCATATATAAACAGGATCCAGAAACGCCGCCAACTTCTCTGGGCCCAAGCTCATTTAAAATGGACTGAGGTGAAGTGAAAATGTGTCCTGTGGTCCGATGAATCACAATTTGAAATTCTTTTTGGAAATAATGGACACTGCATCCTCCAGGCTAAAGACCTCCCAGCTCGTTATTAGCACACAGTTTAAAAGCCAGCATCCATGATGGTATGGGGGAGCATTAAGTTTCAAGTTTCAAAGTTTTATTTGTCCCATACATAGTCATACATGGTACAACTAGCAGTGAAATGCTTGGATAACTGCCTGCTCACATGAAGCAATAAGGAAATAAGAAATAGTAGTGCAAGGTGCAAAATGCGCGAAGTGAAAGAGCAAAATAATGCTGTGCAACTGAGCAGGAGGTAGTATAAATAAATTAAAAGAGGCCAGGACTGTTGAGCAGCTAGAATCCTACTTCAGACAAGAATGGGACAACATTCCTCTCCCAAAACTCCAGCAGTTGGTCTCCTCACTTCCCACACGTTTACACACAGTTGTTCAAAGAAAAGGGGATGCTACACAATGGTAGACTTGGTCCTGTCCCAACTTTTTTGAGATGCGTTGCTGCCATCAAGTTCTAAATGAGTTACTGTTTTTCGTGAAATGGTAAAATGTCTCACTTTCAATATCTGATATGTGTACTATGTTCCATTTTGAATAAAATATGGTTCAATTTGCAGATCATTACATTCTGTTTTTATTTACATTTATTTACATTTTACACAGCGTCCCAACTTTTTTGGAATTGGGGTCGTATAAACTCTCAGCACCTACAGGTTAACAATAGATTTATTAAAGTAGTTTCTCATTGCAGGTTGTGATACTGTCATTTTTTATCATTTTCCGTTATGGTTTGATTTTCCACTGACAATGTGAGAAAACCAAACTTTTGGAATGGGTGATATGAATTTACTTAGCAGTGTTCTCCATTATCTGGATAATAACTATATCATGAGCATGATATGTTTGATTTCACTCAGAGAAACACAAACGAGTCTCTTTGGCTCTTCTGTACTAAGATTGACAATAATTCTGGCACTGTAAAATTAAAAAAATGTACCCCCCTCTTTTTTTTCTCTCATTTTCAAAGGTGTTGGAGATCAGAGTCAGTGGCTTGGAGTTGTGCCCCGTGGTAGCAGGTAAAAAAAAAAAGATCATCAGCTTTACTTAAAAATAACATGGCATTTTAATGTAGTTAAGGCTTAAATGTAGATTTTATAGAAATAATTAGTTGAAAGAATGTAAGACATGCGCTATTGTTCTATTTACTTATTACTATAAGTTCAGTGAACTAAATATTTTAAGACAGATTACTTAATTTTTAAGTCAACAAATCTGTTGTACTGCATTTTTAAGTTTCCTTTTCATAAATGTGCGTTCTGTCCTGTAAACGTTCACTTTAATGTTATGTATTAAAACAAAGCATGTCATTTGTAGGCGTGTAATGATACACATATTTTCGTTTGATACCATTTTTGATTCTAAGGTCAAGATTCGACCTGATTTTCAATATTTCATATGTTAAAAATGTCTCGATTTTACAGAGCTCTAATTATACCTAACATCAAAAAAATAGTTGCACCCAGAAGGAAGTGTTGGATTTCAGTGCTATTTGAAAGGAAGGTAAAGGTTATCAGGAACAATAAATGACTAAAAATTCAGACTGATATGGACAATATTTATTGAGCTACACATACAGAGGTAGTGTCTCTCAGTATGGTACTGGGCCGCCATGTTTGCTAACGCAACATGCCAGACAACTCGGCATGGAGGTTCCTAATGGTGTCTTGTGATAATCCATCCCATGCAGCTTGAATATTTTCACACAGTTCCTACAAGTTTTGCAGTAGGGGTGGAGGGTTGGTAGCATGTCCAATAGCATCCCACACATTTTCAATCAGGGATGGGTCTGGCGATGTGGCTGGCCATGACATGGTATCTGTGTCTTCAAGGCAAGCTCTTGAGTCGGCAGCTGTATGCAGATGAGCGTTGTCCCGTTGGAATAGCACACCTAAGTGTGTGCTCAGAAAAGGTAGGGCCACTGGTTGTAGGACGTCATTAACATAACGTTAGGCTGTCAAAGTGCCTGTAATGAAGACCAAAGGTGATCTGACATTGTACAAAATTGTACCCCACATAATGACACCAGGCCTTCTGGACGTGTGATGCGTAACAACACTCTTCATAGAAGATGACCTGCTGCCAATCTGAGTCACTCCATGACAGTCTGGCATGACACTATTGCAGTCCTTGGCAATGTTGACATGGTGTTAAGGACAGTCATCGTAATGGTCTGCATGCATGTAGTCCTGCATCGTGCAGCCGTCTGCCAGTGGAGCTGGCACTAACAGAATGACTCATGGAGGGCATCACTGCTAACTGGATGTCCGCAGTCATGGCTGTTGGGTCACTCCGTGCATGTTGGACAATCTGTGGGTTCTCCCTCTCCGTGGTTCATGTAGGTCTCCCAGATCCTTCATGTTGCTGGTGCTTGCCTTCTTCTATGCACTGCCACTACCAATGTGCTATGGTAATATCCAGGATGGCACACAATTCATACATAAGACCCTCTCGCTTCTCGGAGCCCTACGTTGCGACCCCTCTCGAACTCTTTGCTTTCAAACTCTTCTCCGAGGCATAAGGATGCTGCCAACACAACAGCACGAGTCAGAATGGAAAGCACCAGCAACGGGACAACCTTATATAGTCAGTCAGGTACAGCGATAAGGCATGTCCTTGATTACGTCACATGCACTGAGTGTGAAACTTGAATCATTCGCCTGTCTCACGTTTTAAAACCTGCCCACCAAGTTTCATTCCTGTCGGCTGATCCCTTCTGGGTGCAACTATTTTTTTGACGATGAGTGTATATACCACACACGTTGGTTTGATTTATAAAATGAATGTTTTTTAATTTTTTTTTTACTTTTAATGTGATTTACTTTTATTTTACAATAATTAAAAGTTGCCTGACCTTGTCCAAAATGCTCTTTTTTCAGTATTACTTCTCATGATCAAACCTCTGATCAAAACATGTATCTCCAAAATGGTAACTTTACAGGAGAGGGCAAAATTGTTCTTTACTTTCAGTGTTTATTAATGTAAAGAGATTAGTTTTAAGTTTTTGAGCATTTCTATTTCATGCAATCTAAAGGACAGATGCAAAGCTCAAATTATGCAGAAAACAAAAAAATGGAGATACGTTTTTTTTTTGGACAGCGATGATATGATATATGTGGTATATGTCTGATAAATTTCGGTACATATATTCAAAATATTATGATATTAAATTATCAGTATTGTCCAGCACTCTGCTCATGTGGTGTAATTTCTAGAGCTTTCTCTGTTTTGATTTTAGATTTGCTCAGTTTGGCTCTAGAGCTCATATCGACAGAACCGTATCCAAGAGCCCGCTCCATTATCTGTCGCTCGTACTGTATCGATCAGCTCCAGCTTTGTGCCATGTTGATTTATCAAACACCGACACTGGGTCCCAAGAGAGTTTATTTAGTTATTTATTTATTTATTTTCCCCAGCGGCTCTTTAGCTTCACGCAGGCTCTCCTTAGCAGTCAGCGCTGCACAGTTTTGATTCATGTGCTTTGAATGAAACACGTTAGTGGTGAGCATTAGTGTCCACCCACCTATAGTCTTTCTCTCTGCACTCTGAATGTCATTTGTTAAAGGGAAGAATCTCTTTTCTCTCCTCTCTAAGCACCATCATTCATCTTCCTTTCACAGTCAAAAGACAATTTATCGCCCTGTTTGCATCCTATAATCTACGGCTCAGGAGGCTCTTCTCAGGCTCGCCTGCGTGTGTGTGTGCGTGTATGTATGTGTGATACTGATTTTTGAAGAGATCTTTAGATTTCTTCTAGATTTGCAAAACAGGATGGCCAGCAGAGAATCAGTGCTACTGTTAGTTCAAACTAACAGAGAGAAAGAGAGATAGAAAGTGAGTCAGAGAAAGAAAGAAGAAAAATGAGAGAGGAGAGAGAGAGAGAGTCAGAAAAGAAAGAAAAGGGAGAGGGGAGGGAGAGGGGGATTGAGTGAGAGAGAGAGAGAGAAAAAAGGGAGAAGGACAAAAGAATGAGGAGAGAAGGGAGAACAAAGATGGAGAGAGAGAGAACCTAAGAAAAGAGAGGGAAAGAAATACAGTGAGAGAGAGAAAGAAAAGGGAGGGAAAGAGAAAAGGCAGAGAAAAGAAAGGAAATGAGACATTGAGGAAGCACAAGAATGAGGACTGAGGAATGCAGAAGGGAGAGAGAGAGAGAAGAGGTGAGAAGTTGAGGGAGCAAATAAAAGAAGGTGAGGGCTCAGAACTGCAGAAAGGAGAGTTAGAGAAGGGTGTGGGGCTGTAAAATAAACCCTCTATAAAAGGAGCACATTAGGAAAACGCTGGTGATGCAGTTAATGACCAACTGCAGACACCATTCTCTTTCTCTCTCTCTCTCTCTCGCTCTCTCTGTCTCTCTCTCTCTGCCCTCTTCTCACTATTCATCTCTTTAGGCTAGCATATATGCTTTCATATTGCCAAAGCTAAGTTACAAACCTATGGGATATTAAACAGTAATTGATGATAATTTACTGATTAATTTATTAATAAATAAATCTATTAATATTTATTAATAAATAAAAATAGGATATCTTAGAGCCTTTAAAACAGAAAAATGAAAACGATTCAAAATAAAAAATTGCGTAATTGCAGCCATCCTGCAACCTGCAGAAGTAAATGCATTCGGTGTGCTGGTGCAGATAAAGAACTGGACTAAGACAAGCTCACATTAAACTTCATATATGCCCAATCCACTCACTGCACAAACTCAGTGAGTTACACTCTAACTCCACACATGCTCAGAGCTTAATAAGAAACATTTTTCCAACTTTTAGATTTAAAATTTAATTCAAATTCAAATCCAATGAAGTACAAACCCAATTATTAGTGAGTAACCTGCACATCTGTGAAAGCACTAATAACACATTTTCGAGCAACAGCCTTTGCGATAATGTCTTTTTGAGGGACAACCATGCTTATTTCTACATGACAACAAACCACATTTTGCCTGTGTTACAACAGCATGGCTGTCTAATCAGAAAGTGCGGGTGCTAGACTGCTCTGTTGGTAGTCCAGATCTGTCTCTCATTGAAAACATGTCTTATTAACCTCAAAATACAACAACATAGGCACAAGATTGTAACTTTTTTGGAATTGTTGCATGCATCAAATTTGGATTGAGCATATATTTACTAAAAACAATAAACTTCACAAGGTAAAACATAAAATATATAGTGTTTTGGTACCATTTTTAATTTAATACAGGTCAAACTGAATTTGCTAATCACTGCTTTCTGTTTTTATGAACAATTCACAAACTGTCCCAAACTTTTTGGAATAGGCACAGTATTCATTTTATCTTGACTATCTTGTTTTCATAATCAATTGGAAGCCAAAATTGTAATTGAAAATAAAATTTGATTAACTGGCGAGCCTTGGTAAGAGACAGCCAATAAGGACAAAACTCATTTACATAAGTTAGTCACATATACATAGACATGTACATATTTGCATATAGACTTAAAAAGTCTTAAAGTATCAAAAACAGGCTGTTTACTTCTAAAGGTCATAGAAGGGTTGGAAAACGATCATGTAGAAATGAATTATAACTGTATTTGTTATGTGAAAACACAAATTTCGTAAGAACACGAGAAGTGTAGGATATTAATCCTTTAAAAGGTAAAATTGTGTTGTTATGCTGAGTTGTTATATTGTATATATTCAGAAGGTGCAGCAGCTTTTTTTTTATCACAAGCGTCCTCCTTTTGCCTTCAGTCACTGTCAAACATAAAAAGGCTTTTTATTCTGCCATTTTATTACTATGGCTAATTCTCCTAATGGAAATAATGAATGAAATCTATTATAATTACATTTCTCTACGTATTGCATTTGTGTCATATTGTATTACATCGTGATCTTTTTTGATTGCAGAAGAATGAGCAGAATGAAAGTTTTGAAAAGGGAAAGATGTAAAAAGCCAGTCTGATTGTTATGCTAATCTTAATGCCTCTCTCTCAAATAAATGATGAAAGTGGTTCCTTTGGAATAGGACAAGAATATTAATTTATCATATTTTGAATTAGACAAGGTCGAACAGAGTAGACCAAATAGGAAAAGGTGTTTGGTGTCTCTTTTTATATTATGAAGTAAAACAGCTCTCATATTTGGCCCTTGAGGCCTGCCCTACATAAAGATTTCCTCAATTTTTATATATTTTTTTTCTAAGAATCCACTCTGCAGGCACATCTAGACAAATCTAGACTCAACCCAGAGGTTGCCCAACATGAAAAAAAGACAACTGACACATTGAGGTTATTCAGTTACCTTACCAAAATCTGCAATGCATTGCATTTGAACCACTTCACATTCTTCATAAATGCTGGCAGATCCACCCATGCCTCATTGTTATTGTGAAATTATAACTTTGTGTGTTTACATAATTTAGCATATTTTTCTAAATATTAAGCTTCAGTAAGTGAACATCTGTGACATTTAAGAAGTTTGTTGATAATTCAAGCACTGGAGTACATACATAGCTAATGCAATGTCAGCACAGTTTTAGATTGTCAGTAGGGTTATGTGTGTATGTGTTATGGTTGTACCAGGTTTGTGTTTCAATAGACTACCACTAATTACACATTTCTCTGTCTTTGTGTCCATCACAGGACAAGAGTGGACAAAGACAAGCCCAGTGTGATCCATGGTAAAGAGCAGGAGGAGAAGACGGAGGTAAGTGACAGCTCATCTAATCTATACCAGAGTAACTGAATTCTCACCAAACAACAACACTCTCAGTCAGCCTCCACCATTCTCCATGAAACACGATCACTGTAAAAAAAAAAAAACACCAAACATCATTCTCCAGTAAACACCAGGCAGTCTCTGTCGAGCACTGTCATTCTACCCGCAACTCCATTGTTCTCCATCACACACCAACATTCTCAAATCAAATACCTTAATTATCTAGCAAACATCAACATTCTTCTCAAAACATCAACATTCTCCACCAAGCACCATCATTCTCCAGCTACAGCAGCTTTCTTCACCAGACGCTACTGTTGTCCATCAAACAACAACATTCTTCATCATACACCGTAATTCTCCACCAAATATTATTCTTCACCAAACACTTGCCACCTTTTGTTTTTTTTTATCTTGTGTTTTGTTTATATCGGTTTTTCTGTATTGAAGCTTTGTGTGCTTTACTTTGTTGATTTATCTAAATGAATGAGCCAGATTTAAATCATAAAGTAAGGAAGCTCCATCTCCAGGTCAGATATCTTCATTAACATTCTGCCAGGACACTGAGCTCACAAGCATAGCACCTCCATTTGGATTCAGAGCGTGACAAGTGCAGTTTAGACAAATGGTTTTCCTTAGAGCAGTGAGAGTGTGTGTATGTGTTTAAGAGAGAGTGTGTATGATGGGGAGACAGAGAGAATATCTGTGTGTGTGTGTGTGTGTTTATGAGAACAAGACCATCTGTTCCACTTTCAACTGTGTCTCTCACATCAAAAACTCCAAAAAGTCTCTGTGTAAACAAAATGGCTTCTGTGTGTGCCTGTGAGGGCTGTAGGGTTTTGTTATTGACCTGAGACGGATCTCACTTGGGCAGAGGGATAATGTGCAGAATGCTGATTTGGCTGGAGGGAACTAATTCTAGACTGGCAGAATCATGTTCTCATTACTTCTACTGATCTGCAGAGCATTTGATGTTTTTGAGTGATGAGTTGTATCTAGAGCTTCCGAGACTCAATGTCTATGATTATTTGTTCTTAGCATTTTTCCTGTGACCACAGGTTGGTTATAATGACGTCTCTTAAGCCCACAGTGGCTCGGTGTTCTTCACCAAACACCATCAGTAACCACCAAACACAAACGTTAACCACTAAACACATCATTCTTACCACACCCTTAAATGCTTCATTATTCTCCATCAAAAAAAAAAATTCTATCAAACACCATCGTTCTCCAACCGAACACCTGCATTCTCTAACCAAACCCCATAATTTGCCATCAAACACCATCATTTTTCATCAGCCACACGTTCCCTGACCCTACACAGCTTTCACCAACAAATACAACTGTTGCCAGTTGTATAACAACATTTTGGATTGTTTGGGTTTGTTGATGTTTGTTGGACGATTTTGGGTCAGTGAGCTAATAGCTTTAGACAAATTTTACCTTGTAAAATGTTTAGCAAACATCAGCATTTTCTACTTAACACGCAGTATATTGCATCAAACACATTTAGTCTTAGAGCTATTTGTGTGTGTGCCCATTGTAATTTTTTGTGTCATATATTGACTTACAACTAAGAGTATGTGAGAGAAAGGCCTTGAGAAGTGTAGTGATAATTGTGTGTGTACGTGAGAGTGAGCAAATGAGAGTGTGACTGGACATTTCAGTGCCCATTTCGAGCTTTGTTTATGATTTAAAATTTTGAAAAAAGCAATGGTTCTTAGCAGTTCACCTGAGATGTTATGACACTCTTAATCCTGAGAGTAATGAAAATGCTAATACTCATAACAACAATCAAAAAATGACTTTTGTCAACCACCAAGAACAAAGAGCTGAATAGCAATAAATTCTGAGGGTTTTTTGAGCTACCAAATATATGAATATGCATGAGTATGCAAATGCACACTTAGCCGTAATCAAAACAAACGATGATCAAGCTTTGCGTTTTACGCCGGTCGCCACTGATTGTAGTTAACGAGCAATTTACATAAGCAATGATGTTAATGACCACAACAAGAAGCAGTGTGTGGGAGATAATGGGGGTATACATATGGAAAACTGCCGAACTAATAACAGCTCACATGTTAAGTGTGTGAGGGAAAGTGCAACATACATAGACTTCAGCAATTTTTTTCTCTTGCTATCTGATGAACAAACAGGCTGTTTCCTTAGATATTTCTGACCACCTAGCATAAGGTGCTACTGCAGTTACATGCCAGATCAGATCAATGCTGACTGTAGTTGATCAGAGGAGCTAATTTTTTTGCTGCAACATGAAAAGAAACTCTAAAAATGTTATCACTCAGCATGCCCCTAATTTTACAGTGAAAATGCATTTGCACGATTGCAGTGACAGATCCTTAACTTTTTCAAATGTCCTTAAATAATTTAATCTGTCAGAACAACCATACTCAACATTGTTTCTGCGTAGCAGTATAAAACTACCACGACAAACAAGCAAAGTCCTTATAGAAATGCTGTAAATTCTTTTAGATTTCACTGATTTTCATTGAAAAGTAAATTAGTGCTTTGATTGTGGATGATTGACAGTAGGCTTGAAGCTCCACTTTGCTTTTTTTAGATGCTGCTTTCTGATCAGATGGCATATGAAGAATCTGTGCTTTCAGAAGAGGATCTGATTGCAGTTCTTTTCTATTTTTAGCCCACTTGTCCACAGTGATTGCTAGCATTTTTTTTCATAGCTGCTGGCACTACTGTCAAAAATACATTACACCGTTTTTTTTCAGGCTGCATGTGTAATACAAACCTGGGTCAGCTCGCCATGCTATACGTTTATTCTTTTGCAAATACAATCTGCACTAACCCATGGCTGATATGAGTCTGAGTGACATCTTTTTAAATTGGTTTGTGTGAGTGTATGAGTGTGTGAGAGAGGGAATTGAGCAATTGTAAAGAGAAAAGTTGCTCAGAAAAGACATTTGGAAAAAAGGGGCCCAATTGGGCGTGAAATAGCTAAGTTGCAACCTCGTAGATGATTTTGTTGTTGTTGTTGTTGTTTTTGAAATGGTTCAGATTTGAACGAGGAAACTGCACCCTGAGAGTGTTAGCTGGGAAAAGATGAAAAATAAGCCCTAAAGGGGGATATTAAAGCTGACCCTATGTTCTGCTTTCAAAAAGGTTTTTTCGTCCCATATTGGTGCTTTCTCTCGTTCAGTCATGTATCTGTCACTGTCTTGCCCCCCCCTCTCTCTCTCTCGCTCTCTCGCTCTCTCTCTCTCGCTTCCCCTCTCTCCCGTGGCTTGTGATGTCTATGATAAATTCAGTTTCCACTCGAATGGTTAAGTTAATGCAGGAACAGAAAAGTTTAAGATAAAACATTTTCCAAATCACAGGAAACATCCTTCTCTGTCAGTGAAACTGTGCTTCAGCTGAACGAACTGCCTTTTGTGCTAATATTAAGAGTTTCTGAGACTCAGTGTCTATGATTTTTTTTTGTTGTAATATTATTTTTTCTGTGGCTGTGCTCTGCTCTATACTGGTCTGTGCTGCTGGAATGGGCTCTTCTAACCCCACAATTTATCAGTCCATCACTATCCACCAAACACCAACATTCTCCAACACCAAAGTTCTTCAACACTATCATCCTCCAACATCAACATTAATCACTAAACACTATCATTCTCCATCAAACATTACCCTTCTTCCCCAAACTCCAGTATTATCCATCAAACAACATCATTCTGTCAAATGCCGTCATTCTTCACCATACACCTTTGTTGTCCATCAAACACCAACATTCTCCAACAAACACCAGCATTCTCCAACAAACACCAACATTCTCCAACACCAGCATTCTCCAACAAACACCAACATTCTTTACCGTAACACATCATTTTCAGTTTTTTAATAATGTTTATAAGAAGAATCGATAAGTTAATTAAATGAGTGTGAATGGGAAGAACTTTCCAGAGGCTCCAGGCAACCTCACAGGTATGGCACCAGCCCAACATTTTGGTTTGTTGGTGTTTGGTGGAGGATTTTGGGTCAGTGAGCTTTTAGCTTTAGATGCATTTTACCTTCTAAAATATTTAGTCAAGTGGTCCCTAATGAAATTCCCAATTCTCCTCAAACCAGAAGAAAAGGGAAAAGACTTCTGTTTCGAAATACTAGCAGTACTGGCTGGAGAAAGAGAACCGTAACTGAGGTAGCACCCTCCGATCAGTTGAACAGGGGGATTGTGCTTCAGGTTCAGGTTGGGTTAGTGGTTGGTATAGTGTAGTGGGTAACACCTCTGCCTTCTACGCTGTAGGCTGGAGTTCAGTCCTCGCCTGGGTAAGCATCCTACACTATACCAATAAGTCAAATTGTAAGTCGCTCTGGATAATGGATCTGGATGCTGTAAACGTTATGCCAGTCTGTTTCTTCTTACCAATCAAATAACCACGGACGCATGACACGAAGACATTTGCCAATTTTTCTATTTTTTTTTCCTTTGCACTTTGTGTCAGTCACTGCTTAGTTTATTTTATTAAAACATCATTGCAGAGTTGCTGCTGCGAGGGGGTTTGGTTGATACCATGGGATGTTCTTCACTTGAGCCTGTAGAGTGAAGATCAAACAGCTGCCATTAACATAGTTAAAGTAAGAAATTAGGCCTTTCTGCCATGTCTTCAGTTTACCTGAAGTTTATCTTCAGACCATGTAGCACTTTGTGTAACTCTAAGCTCACACTTATTACGATCCAGAATATTCCCCTGAACCTTTATTAGTTCCATAAACATGTTATCGTTATATGTGGATGTGCACAAAAATTTAGGGAGAACTTAAGAGATATTTTCTTGGTTGTTTTTGCACATGAACAAGACTCAGCTGAGCTTATGTAAGGTCACACCTGCTACTTAAGATTAGATTTCTGTTTTATCCAGTTGAAACACTATGTGGACCAAATCCCCTTAGTCTGTTATAAACATGAACAGTAAGTGGTTGTGTGGGCATCACTGCACTTAAACTGCACTTGAGTGTGCACC